CCTCCTATTAATTAAGCGTTCGAATACCTTGTTAATAGCAGATAGAATAGATATGGGTCTATAATTTGATACATGTTTTGTATTACCAGATTTAAAGATCGGAATGACTCTGGCGATTTTCAATGAAGATGGGAAAATGCCTAATCGAAGCGAGCTGTTAAAGAACTCTGTCAGACATGGTGATAATATATCTGCAACATATCTGAGAAAGCGACTGGGAATGCCGTCTGCCCCAATTGCCTTCCCGACCCGCAGGGTAGCTAATTCTATAGTTAGTTCGTTCATCGTTGCTGGACTCAAGAATATGGATTGGTTTACTCGTTTGCCAAGGTAAATTTTGAAGCCATCCATGTCATTACCGAACTTTTCAGAAAGAGCGGAACCAACAGTAGAAAAATACTTATTAAATTCTTGCGCGATCAAATGATTATCATTTATAGTAATGCCATTTTCCAGATGAATTACATCAATATTTTGCCTAGATTTATTTTTTGTGGATGCAATTTCATTAACAATTCGCCATGTTGATTTCGGGTTTCCTTTATAGAAAGCAATACGGTTTTGATAATAGATTTGTTTAGCATTATCAATAGTGTGTTTCAGTACGTTGCGATACTTTTTAAAATAAGAGCATTGGGAACTATTGCCATTTAGATAATGTGACTTGAACATCTTATTTCTTATGCGAATACTATTGAGTATTCCTTTCGTAATCCATGGCTTTAGCTTTATTCTTTTTTTACGGCGCGACAAGGGTCGAAATGGGGCGTGATTATTGATTAGACCAACAAAAGATTGGGTGAATTCATCAAATATTGCGTTATAGTTTTGAGAATTCAAATATAATGAACGAAAGCGATTGTTTATCAAGTTTTGCGTATCTGAGCGAAACTCTTCAATGCAAAAAGCAGACATATCTCTCGTTATGATGAGATCATTTCTACTAAGTGGTTTGATGCCACTTATACAGCACATGATGGGATAATGATCTGTAATGTCTGATCTAATAACATAAGAATCTAATTTTTTATTTGTTATATTGGAATAAAAATGATCAATAAGTGTGGATGATGTTTGTGTGACTCTAGTTGGTTTGGTAATTAGTGAGATTGAATTGTGAGCAATTAGCATGTTAGAGTAGTTTGTAATTTGAGTGCTACTCGATGTTGCGAATAAATTTATATTAAAGTCGCCCATTATTATAAAGGGTTTACTTGTTAATTTTGTGAGACAGTTTTCAAATATGCTTGTAAAAGCAGGGATATCATTTTTAGGGTGTTTGTATATTATGCCAATACTCAAATTTTTATCCATATTAGCCAAGCTAATTTCTAACCAGAGATCTTCACAATTAGGATAATTTAAATGATATTCTGGGGACTCTGTAGATTTAACATCATCTCTGATGAAAACACCAACACCGCCAGATTTCGAGGCAGAAGTGACATGAAAAAATTTATACCCGTCGAGGCTTATAATTGCAGAATTTTTATGCAATTTCGTTTCGCTAATGGCTATAACATGGGGAGAAATAGAGAATTTGGACAATAGTATAGTAAGTTGGTCAATATTTTTTTGAATAGAGCGAATATTTACATGGATAATCGTTAAATCGGAATCAGATGAAATGTTACTCAAATCTGAAACTTCAATATTGCTACACAGGCAACTATTAAATTGTTCACAGTGTTTCAAACTGTTTTCACAAGTAGGATTATTTACTAATACATTATTACAATAACTCGACATTTACCTATTGAGAGTAAAATAGTAGTAATGGAAAAGGAAAATTTACCATTAAGTATGAATTGATAACCTACTTTATCAAGAGTAGATCATCTTCAGTGATGATTGGAATCGTAGCTGTATCAGAGTTCTTTTTTATCAGAACTTTCCCATTGTTAGTCCAGAGAAACTTGTAGCCACAAGATTGTTTACGCTCTTTGGCCTTGAAAACAAGTCTTTGTTGGAGTCAGACAGATTCTCAACAATGAAAAGTTTTGTTGCTCTGGGAAATTTTGGGAAGATGGTAGAAATATCCAGGGATTTTAGCTTGCGACGATTCGTTAGGATCTTATTTCTTGTTTTCCTGTTAATGAACTTAGCAATAATAGGTGATGGTTTCCTTGTGTTATATTTTGAAAGTCTGTGGCAATTTGATATGTCAATAGATTGTAGGGGGACATCCAATTTGCTACAAATTTTAGATATTAAATTTTCACAGTTTTCGCCAACTGTGTAAGGGATGTTATGGAACTCTAGATTGTCTAGTCTGGAACGACGTTCTTGATCTTGTTGTCGTTCAGTTAATATATCGTTTTCTTCTTCGAGGTCTTGCACAAGATGTTCTAATTCTGCAACTCTTTTTCGAGTTTTGGTAGCCAACTTGTTGAGCTCATTTTGGTTAGAATTGAGTTCGTCGAATTTTTTTGAGACAAAATCTTGGCTCTTCTTGATTTCGTGGATTTCCTTTTTGATCTCACTGATGAATGTTACCTCGGATCTAATCTCATCAATTGACACTTTCAGTGATGTTAACGATTCTTCCACAGCGTTGTTATAGGTAAAAGACTGGGGAGTGTCAAGAGTAAATTTTTCAAGATGTTGCTCTATAATAGCTGGTATCTCAAGACGCAGAGTTTTGAGAATCGTACTTTCGAGTATAGAAACAAGGTTGCTGACATCATCAATCTCAATGGTGTTGGTCATTGTGGCGGTTGTGCATGTTTGTTTGTTGGTCGGACTTTTACGCCTGGGCGGCGCAGAAGGAACACTGCTGTTGTTTGGGGTGTCCATCCTCCTTTTCTTCCGTCACAATGCACAAATGAAGATATCAGTGAACATTGACAGGTGGATTACATCCAGTACAGTTTAGTTATGAATATTAAATTATGTTATGAAGTTCTATATTTATTCAACTTAATTATACAGCGAATAATGATATATACTATATATCATATAAATACTATACACTTTGGTAGACGACGCCAGGGAACAAAAGATATGTGGAATATATGTCAGCGGCTACCTTGCTATAGCTGCATGAATTTAAAAAAATATGACGATCCTTGTTGCTGGGCTGCAGCGTCACTTTTTATATTGTGGATAGTCATATTAGTCAACAGTTTTGTTGTGTTGCACTTATCGAGGCATATCATTGTCACTAGATGTCGCTAATTTGCCATCTATCCGAAATAAATCACGATGGTTCTTCCCATTCCTCTGGTTTTCTCTAGCTGAGTAATCTGTTGTTCTCTTCATGAATGTGTATTTTAAGTTAATTTTTTAAAATATCCGAAATATCTGATTCTGAATCTTAAGAATACGAATCTCCCTTAATTCAAGCGTTTTTATGCGAAAACAGCTCAGCCTCAAGATGGCAATACAGAGCAATAATTCACCTAGTTATTTTTTTAAATCAGGGAAAACCCCTGTATAATATCTCGATGCTATGCTGTTCTGGTGGTTGTAGCTTGCTTTTTAATAGAGAATTCAGAGAGAGAATTGAACAATGGATATTAAGTTGGCATTTATAGTATGTATGTATGTATGTTTGTATGTATAGTAGATGGATTAGTAGGATATTAAGGAAGTATCTTACACTCATGCTGCTAGCTTAGAAGAACTCCATGAATGTAAAAATATCAATAAACAAAACAAAAAAGTAGTAAAAATTCAGAATCATTCCGTTGATATACTGAAATAGTAAAACTATGATATGGGGGAAAGGCCATACACATTCATGAAGAATATACCGAGAGAAGTGATTGCGTAACTGTGTTTCAAATTTGGATATATCAATTCTTTAATGCTAGGACTGTAGGAGGTAAAATATTCCAAATTTTATCTTCAATGTATCTCAGAATTCTTTATGCCTGCTTCAATTTTACTGGGAACTAAAGAAAAACCACTGATAATATCTTAATGTGCAACTCTGCCTTACAATTAAGTGCATTTTCATAAATAATATTCATATCTTATACAACAAACCTGCCTAAACCTGAAAAGTCTAAATATTAGGCGATATACCACTTGGCCAATATATTGGTTGAGATTATGCCTTGTACTTTTGCTGCTAAAACTTCAACCTAACAAAGCAAACTCATTTACTCTTAATATGACAAGAGTGAAGTTGAATAAAAAGTTATCTCAAAGGAATCTACAGTGATTTGAGCGGTTGATAAAGTTATTGTGATCTGTGGCATTTGCTGGTGGTTACATGATTTATGTTGCATGTAATATTTATAGCTATAGTTCATAATAGTTGGTCATTCCAAGTTTATGTGCCTGAAATGGAGGACCAACTAAAAGTAGGCAATTGAAAATAGGCACTTTGGAAATTGAGCGTAATAAAAAAAATACCGGTAATGAATTGTTAAATATAGTCAAATTAAATGTTGAACAAGTAAATCCTACAAGGCGGTTTACAAAGAGGAGGCATTATTAGAAATAGATGCACGCACTGGATCAAAAGATACGCTAGGCCCCTTGGGCAAAGATAGAAAATGGAAATTACATTTTCAATATAATTATTTCATTATCTTTTTAAAAGTTATTACACCCATTTTTTGTTTTGTTCGAAGTGTATAAAGAGTGCCTAATTTTCAAGTGCGTTTCCAGATATGGAGGTTGTAGTATCTTATTCAGTATTCATAACTGTTCATAACTCTTGATCCATCATGACAAACCACAATTATCATTTGATGAAATATATTATATCTATACTAGAAGATGTGAAATATTTTATTTTATTTACTGTTGTACTTACCTATCAGCATTAACCATCGGCCTTCTGAAGATGATATTCAGTTGTAGATGAGCAATAATTTAGTTTAACCCTGAATTTGAAAGCATGACTTCATGAAAAGGGCACTTTCCTACTCGTGATTAGCTGAGTCAGTTAAATCAGTCCCAAAGTTGAGCAATGACACTTTCTGCTAGGACAGATTTGTAATGAATTTTTTCATTTATTGCAGTTTGATGATCTTTTTCTAAAGTTATCTAACTTTCCTTATATTTATGCACTGAACTGCTGAAATCCAAAAGCTGTCTTAAAATACGAACCATTGCATCGTCTGCTTAACCAACAACATGGATAGAAAAGAAGACACTGGAGCATCAGGTGGGTTCATACAATACTATTTTTGAAGTTTTTACTCAGTATAAGAATCCACTGATGTCTATAAATCTTGAAATTACAGCAGGGAATTTATCGATACCATATATTGTTCTGGCCTCCACAGATTAAATGAAAATACTTGAACAATTACTGATTAAAAAACTACAAACCTGATTAAGATATAATAAGTGACTTCATAACAAAATTGATATTGTAAAGGGACTTTACGGACACCCCGTATATCAATATGTTAGAAGCTACAATTTTTGAGGAAATTAATTCCTGTTTGACATTGCCTATCCCCGATTTATTACACTCTGGGCATGGGATTTGAATATGAGATGGCAAGTGATTTGAATATCAAGCACAAATCGCTAGGATTGCATTGTTTTAGTTCATTTGTTGTATTATTTAAAAAAGTGTGATAGACTAGAATTAGCTATCAGTATTTTTATAGAATGACAGGCTGTTTAACATTTTGAATCAAATGATGATTATGAAACATCTAGCGCCAGCGTCAACTTGTAAAAACTATCCCAAAATGTGCAGTAAAAATGGAATTTTAGGCATGGTTGATTTTTTTTGTGGTTTTGCTAGTTGTTTTTCAGTTTGTCCAAAAAGTTTCAGTTTAGTAGGAAATTTGAAAATGATAAAGCTGCAACAAGACTAGGCCAAATCATCATCAGGTCTTTTCAATGGCGAGTTGTTGAATGTTCCTCACATTGGCACGGACACTTTTTTGAGGGGGTGTGAAGCTATTGTTAGATTTGATTTTGCTCGCCTTGTTTTGTTAATTTATATTTTCTTTATTTTGGATATTTACGTTCCAACCACATATTTTCAACGTTTTTTGGCTAAAACATGTCGAACTTTATCCCTACTATTTGTTATTTGTAGCTTATTGCTAGCTACGGTAGTTATTTTTGAGGTGGGACGCGAGACTTAAAAAGTTTGAGAGGTGGGTGGGCAAGAGGGGGTGTGAAGCTGATTAAAAATGAAAATTTTTGTTAGATTTGACTTGCCCACCTTATTTTAGATATTTACATTTCTTTATTTCGGACATTTACGTTCCATCCAAATATTTTTAACATGTTTTTGAATACAACATACTTTCGCCTTACTGTTATTTGTCTGTTATTTATCTGTTATTTTCAGCTTAGTGCCAGATAGTTATTTTTGAGGTGGGGCGAGAGACTTGACAAATTATATTACAGTAAATTTAGAAAAATTTGCCGCATCTGGCGAATATAGTGACAAATTGAGTTTGAGTAGGGCCAAGACTGGGTAAATAATGATACCGGTATGTAACAATAATCAAAAAAAAATGAATTCGTCTTTAAATCTTATTACCTAATAACTAAGTAAGAAATCACGTTTACGGGAGCCTGGTTTTACGAGTCTTGCTTGCACAGAATAAAAAGTTGATTTTAATTGATAGTGGTTAAATTTAATATTTTGCAACGGCCGCATAGGTTGCAGTGGCCACACGTTGGTAGTGAATCTATTCAATTCTCAGCTGGTATGTTTTAGAACACTCGCCAGACTAACATTAATAATGATTTAACGCCGTTTCATATCTATTTTTGTTTTTAGCCTCTTACTATTAAAGTGTGTAAAGCGTGTCTTACTTTAGCTTATCAGTATTTAGGTATCACATACATTTGGAACAAGATAATAATATACCTAAATTTTATTGTTTTGGTTCTGGGAAAAGCCTGTTTAGTATCAAATGAAATTCAATGTTCAGGACATTTCCAAATAAATAATACGTTTATAGTAATACATTTACATTTTTTAACAGTTAAATCCAGCAAGGTGAAGCTTCCCACTATTTGAATAAGTATGAAAATAGAATAGGATTCGGTATTCTGGATTCGATGTAACTATTCTAGAATAGTAGATTATTCTACATTGCCCATCCCTAGTTTCACATTTACTCAAACACCTATTTTTTCCAATTGTTTTTGACTATGGAATTGACCTTGACACAGCTCATGATTTGGAAGTATAGCCAGAATTATCATGGTTTTTATTTACATTGGCAGCTTGTATCATATGATTGAGAATACATGTAAATGTCAAAGTTATATAGCATACCCTCTATCCTTGTCAATTCAAGTATTGCCGGGTGAAAAGTTTGAGTGGTAATGTCCTGGAGACGGAGACAATTCTACTTCTAGTGTTCATTAGTTGAAGCCTGAGTTGCTTGAATAACTCAAGCAGAGCTTGAAATGAATGTATGATTGCTGATCTTCCATTAACAGCTTACTTTGATGTAAGCTAAAACTTGAAGACTATGATAGACTTAACCTTGATGTTATTTCACTAGTTTTACATACAGGAGCGACAGTTGTTTGAATATTTTTATCAAATTTATGTTGTTCAAAAGTCAATTCTGTTATGTAAATTCATGAATATGTTTTCAAGAAATTCTATATGCTAAATTGTGATAAAACTTGATCTGTCTTCTAAAAATTTGTTTGTTCGTTGAAATAATATTACGAATTAAGTTCAATGAATTGGTTGTTTAATAAAACATTTAAATTTGTTTATCTTTATACTCTGTAATAATAAGGGGGTTGGTGATTTATATTGAGGTCCTGATTAATTAAATTGACTCTGAGACTAATTTTTAACTTTTAATGGCGTCTATTTTCAATGTTACTGTCTTTGTATCACTTATATCTTGAAATAAATGTATCCAGTTTGAGTATTTGCAAGAACAAATGAACAATGTTACTGTCTATGTATCACTTATGTTTTGAAATAAATATCTTTTGTCCAACTACACCATGAATACTCAGTAATGCTATAACACTATTCACACACACAAATTTTCTGAAGATAATTTAATTTTCAGAAATACTTAAATCTAATAGTGTCTTCTAACAGGATTGAATCATAGATGGGCCAAACTTGATAATTAACGATCTTGGCAACACCTATGTATGATTGTGGTTATTCATGCATTAGTTTCAAACTCTATTATTCCAGTAAATTCAAAAGTATGAGGGCCCTCAAAATCAATTATTTTATGACTGGTTGCTTGCATAGAGCCTAGTTAAGAGAGAAGTCATTAAAAGTAACAATTCCATAATACAGATTAGTTCCTTGTGCAAAACTTAGTTCAACGTGAATAACAAAGGATTTGAAAGATCTGAAATGTTGCGATATCTTGGGTATTTCTTCAGTTGTTGAGTGACAGATATACATGTAGAACTCTTATTATCATTATTTTACATTTAATACTGTTTTATAGAAATACCTTGAAATATACAGACTGTTACTATTTTTATTGATTGCAAGCAAACTCAACTGTGATCCATTTTTACTGATGACCTCAATACTAGATTGTTTTGGGTCAGTGAAACCAGATTTGTGTTTACTTTGTCACTTCATTCCTTGATATTGTAATTAGGAAACAATATCAAATAATGTTGCAGGGCGAGACAAAAAGTCTGTAAGAGCCTCGAATTGCAAAAAAGCTCAATTAATTAATTGCATATTAATAAAATTATTATTCACACTAGTCCTACAAAATCATAGATGCAGTATCACGTGGAATAACACTTAAATATGGTTCAGTATCAACATACTTTGCTTTGCATATGCTAGCAAAGGGTCATTGTATAATAAATATGTTTAGAATGTGACTTCTGAATGACACCCACCTAAATGCTCCATATTCATCAACTAAAAAGCTGCCTCTCAACTTAAGAGAACCACATCATCAAATATATTCATCATTTTTAAAGCTGTCACAGCTACAAAAATTTCGCTTTGACTGTCAAGTTTCTCACAAAATATAAATCCAATACAACATGCGGTGAAACATTCAACACTCATGGTTAATTTGAAAAGCAAGTGCCAACAGATAAAATGTCATGATGGTTTGAGTTTTCGGTCAAAGTTTCTAAATATTGATGGGTGCTTGTACACTGCCTTAGATTCAAAGTGTGAAACGGTTGATAAAAAAATATGAAAGTATGCTCAGTATGGAATCAGCAGGAGTAATATTGAATGGTATTTTCTACACATTATTTAACATGAGGATTTTAAACTCATTTCAAATTTATATTTGTGCTAGTGTGTGTGTAGTAATTATCTTAAATCCTATAATAATAGTCATCAATATTCTTTCCAGAGCATCCTTGAATTCTATATTTGTCTGAATGGGTCTGACGTTGGTTGAAGAAATATTTTTGTGTTTGCGTACAGTGATACTCGTGAATTATTGTGTTCAGAAAGAAATATCAAGGAATAATTACTTAATAGAATATATGTTTATTGGACATGTAGTGGACATATGGATCGTTTTGTTATTATGTCTTTGTTGTTCTAATTGTTGTTCTTTGACACAGAATTGCATCGCTATTATAAAGTCACTTTTCTCTTTGATTACAATACTAATAGCTTTGAATTTTTTTAAGGGATTAAAGATGGAACTTTTTCCCAAAATGCTGTTACTTTTATTTATTTATTATGAATTCTATGAAATCTGATATTTCATCCGAAATTTCGCTTCTTTTTATTCATGGGAACACGTTTTTATTTATCGCGTGATGACTGTCTGTCCATTTCGATTCTGCAAAACCTTTGGAAATTTTTCATGGTGCCAATACCGTTAAGGTAAGGTAGACTACTGCTTCACTTTGGTCTACATTTCCATATATTTGAATTTGAGCATTGTTCCCTTCAGTGTCATTCTAGGACTGGTCAAACCAAAGCTTCAAAATTTAGTATCCAATATTTCTCGTTTTAAATTTTTCCACTTATATACATTGATTTTTCATTAAGAGAGTATTTATTATGAAAATTCATACATGGAATTATTTTGTTTGGTCACCCCCAGGCTTTAGACTACTGGACAATGCCATCAGCCAATCATGGCTATACATTGCTATCAACTAGAATTGTATTGCATAGAAATACTTGGAATGTGTTAGCTCTTGATAGGTAATTGTAACTTTAATACTCTGCTTCTTTTTAATATCTCAACTAAT